CCCCCCCCCCCCCCCCCCCCCCCCCCTCCCCCTGGATTTCGCCTTATCGTGATTTATTAGCATAGGTGTATGGGATTCCAATCCCCGTGCCCTCCTGCGACGCACAACAGGGGGTTACGCAGCATTAAAATGGGGTACCCCATTTCCGAACATTTCGCCGGGCCCCCTGGTGCTCAGCAAAAAAAGTTTCCTCAAGGCGGGGAGTTTCTTTCAAGCGAGCGTCCTTAAAGCGGGGTCGACGGGTATGGTACTAGAGGATCACGGAATCAGAGGCGGAAAACCAACCGGAACGATGACGGCAATTGGATGTCTCGTACGCGGGTTTCCGCTGCTGCAACGCAAGCGAACCAGAGGCCGGGATATCGCGATATCCCGTCATCTCGCGCCGCTGTAAGAACAGCACGCCCAAAACTACTCCGGAAGCGCGTGGAAGCTCGTAACTACTGCTATAGCGTAGGATAGCATACAACGATTGTGCCGGAAACACGGACAAGCTGCTGTCTGTTCGAGAAAAGAGAAAAAAGAGGAACATAGAGATGTGGTGTGCGTGTGGCGGGAAAGAGAGTCAGCCGAGGGATGACACACGAAACCGCGTTGTACATATACAGGCCGTGTTGGGGTTAAGAAGGCAGAACACAACACGGGCCCTTGCCAACAGCAACATCACGGCAATGACACTTGGCTTCGAAGTAGGTCCCCTACACACATGCATCATGTCGGAGGTGACGATTTTCAAATCATCAACAGAGCCGATTCGCTGCATATTCTTAAAACTTTTCTTGAGCATATTTTCTCTTCCGGGGTGGGCACATGTTGTTCTTGTACTACAGACTTACGCCGTGGACAAAGGCGGACCCCATACAGGTCGCGCTTACGTGCAGGTAGCACTGTCGACGGTGCTGGCGGCTGCTGACGCCGAGCACCTCGAGGGTATCGCGATGCAAGATTTCTAACCCCGAAGACACACACACATACGACCACCAACAAAGGCGCACGCATGCCGTGATGTGGGCTTGTTGAAGCTCGGAGGCTAATCTTTGGGGCAGGGCCGAGACGAAAGATCGATGTCCGAGGTATCACACGGCGGAGGAAGGAAATACAAGCGAAAGTAACCAGCCAACCTCGCTATCTTGGAGCAGCAACACAAGGGCAGGTGGATCGAACCTTTGATCCACCCTGCCGGGGGCTGTACATGGATCATGCCATCATCGTGTCCGGACCAAAAAAAAAAAATCAAATCGTGGAGAGACCTCCGAAAATAGCCGAAAGAGAAAACCTCACGCGGGAGAGTACGGGGGGGGTCTACAACGCCCTTGCAGGACATGTACGGGTTCTGTCTCACCGTGTATCGGACAAGAGGCGCAACCAACGACCACTCTCGAACCTGGGCCCGAGTCACGACGGCACGAGCAACTGAGAGCAGGCCAGCCAGAAGTAACCCCCCCTGCTTGATGCCATCCACGTGCCCCCACTCTCTCTCTCTCTCTCTCGAGCGGTGGACCACACACATACACACAACCTCTGCTCTCTCTCTCTTGACCTGTCCCGAAGCATGTGAGTTTACACGCTGCAGTGCATCCCTATTGCACATTGGTTTTGTTCGCGCGATCCGTTCAGAGTGATGAATATCGATTCGGATTCCAACCTCAAAACACCCTCCCCTTTTTTGCAGAACACAAGACTTGAATTTGAAGCAGCAGCAAATTCATCATGTCGATCGTACTGCCGGAACTGCCGTGGGCGAAGGACGCCCTCGCTCCCCACATCAGCGCCGAGGTGAGCTAGCTTCACGGTGGTGGCACAGCCGGAGAGGTGGTGTTCTTCGCTGCTGTTGTGCCGAAACAACTTCCAAGCCAGAAGAAAATAGAGCCATCTGTCTTGATGTTCTCGGAGCGCGCTTAGCACCATGGGCAAAAAGAACCGCCGTCTTTTAGAAAGCAGTACATGGCATGCTCCGAGTATGAATCTAGCACATGAGAATCGATACCCGATCATGCCACAAGTATATTCACCCACCGCCAACGGCAGTGCTTACCGCGCTGGTCGGAACTGTTGTCGGGTATTCTTGCTCTCCGGTGTTGGAGCGAGATACCACGCCACCCTAGCTTGTTCTGGAACACCCATTGACCGCGCATGAACGGACAGGCGGTGTTTTTGGGCAAACACCCCGCAGGTACAGCAGCGGGAGGTTCTTGGTAGGTTTGTCCCGTGTTGTAGAAAACACACGCGCCTAAACCCACAGAAAGACTACAGCAGTTACCCGTGTATACCCACAGCAGTCGAAAGGGGTGAGCTGAAGTTTTTTTTGTGAGTGAGAGGGAAACCGGCTGTAAACTGGGCTTGTTTTGAGTATAGGGGCCTGCAGTGAGGCCGCTTGAATTAGCCGTCTGCCCGGTGTAAGGCCGGTGAAATCGCTTGGCACAGACTTTGCCCTCGATGAGGCCGGTTGTAGCCCCCAGCCTGCCCCCATCCAGGCCGGTATCCGTAGAAGAGACACTGGTTTCGCCGCATATTTCACCCTTGTCCTGCGCGCCATGGTCTCGGCGCACTTGGTCGCTCTGGAGAAGGCTGCGGAAGACAGCGGCAATCCTGAGGCCGCTAAGTAGCTTGATGTAGAGGGCTACGATGGCGATGATCGCAGCGCATGCCGCACTGCTCACGCGGCAGGCGGACTTGAGGGAATTTTGACAGATGTGATGAGCGCATGGGAGGAATCTTGGTAGCGTTTGCTGTGTCTTTCTTCGGTGGTGGTTTTTTTCAGCATGTTGTTTTGTCCGGAATGGGTGGTGTGTGCCCTTACATCAAGCCGTTTCAATCGTTTCTCGGAAGTGTATGGCAGGAATAAATGCATGGTGCTGCTGTATGCTGATCGGTTATTACTTTGGAGTGGTAAAACAACAAGGGGTGTACGACTTGATAGGCACTTGCCTTTTCGTTGTTAGCATGGTATAAGTATGTCTTTATCACACCATTTCATTTTTTTTTATCGGTTGGGCATGTACCTGAGACGAAGAACGGTTGTATGGGAAGCATTGAACGTGATCGCAAAGCACACTCAAACTGCGACGTCCGCTTCGTGTGGCCCAGTGTATGCGCACGGGTCCTCAATAAGGCCGGTTTATTCTCGTGGCACTATGCGGCCTTACTGCGCCCCCCCCCCCCCC